GGAGGGGGTGGGAAGCGTGGCCCACCGCCCCGATTGTGGTTTCCTCGGTAAGAATGGGCGGCGAAGGGTAGGCAAGTTCGCACAGGCTTAGGATTGGGTAGTCTGGATAATGTCGGCAGGCTCTGGCTAGAGGGGTGGTCTCAGGCTGTCCAGTACCTGGCTGGGGGGATTCAGGGCTGGGGGAATATCGACTTGGTGCATGAGAGTTAGATAAAGGAGGCGGCTGGGGCCCTGGGCCCTGAGTGTGAAAGGTGTGTCCTCAGGCGAGTTGTTTACTATCTCTAGGAATTAGCTAGCCCTGGGAGGGGCCGTCTCTCCAGCATTAGCGAGGCCCTAGGATGTGAAACCATCAGAAAATAGAGAAAATTAAAAACATGATGAATACATTTGGGGAATGACTGAAAAAGGACAGTACATTCATACTTTGGAACACAGTATAGCAGTTCTGACATGGATGACCTCCAAGACATTAAGAAAAGAAATTGTGAAACAATAATTACCCATGTGATTCCATTTACATGTGGAAAAACACACACACAAAATGGATCTTAAACTTCTGTACATCTATATGTATGTGTGCAACACACCAACAAATGTATGACTGGAACCAAACCAGCATCAATGAAAAGAAATTCTTACACTATATCTATATGTTTAAAAAATTTATAAGTACATGTTCATGTACTACCTGTGTAATTAAATAAAAAAGAATTGATTTTAAAAACCCAAGGGAGTGGAGAAATTGGGTGAAGGTGGTCGAAAGGTACAAACTTCCAGTTACAAGGTAAGTCAGTCCTGGGGATGTGATGTACAGCATGGTGACCATAGTTAGCAATACTGTTTTGTGTATTTGAAAATTGCTGAGAGTAGCTCTTAAAAGTTTGCATCACAAGAAAATCTAAATTTGTAACTGTGAGGTGATGGATGTTTACTAAACTTATTGTGGTGATCACTCTGCAATATATACATATGTTGTACACCAAAGAAATGAAAGAATATATTCACCAATGAAACATCTGATAAGGGGTTAGTTTCTAAAATATACAAAGAACTCATACAACTCAACACCAGGAAGATAAACAATCCAATTAGAAAATGGGCAAAGGACCTTAATAGACACTTCTCCAAAGAGGACATAAAGATGGCCAATAGACATGAAAAAGTGCTCAACGTCGCTAATCATCGGAGAGATGCAAATTAAAACCACAATGAGGTCTCACCTCACACCTGTCAGAGAGGCTCCATCAACAAATCAACGAACTACAGGTGCTGGCGAGGGTGTGGGGAAAGGGGAACCCAGTGCACTGCTGGTGGGAGTGCAGACTGGGGCAGCCACTGTGGGAAACAGTACGGAGGTTCCTCAAAAAATTAAAAATGGAGGTGCTTTATGACCCGGTGATTCCACTCCTAGGAATGTATCCTAAGAATCCTGAAACACTAATCAGAAAGAATATATGCACCCCGATGTTCATAGCAGCGTTATTTGCAATAACTAAGATCTGGACACGGCCCAAGTGCCCATCAGTAGATGAGTGGATAAAGCTGTGGGACATCTACACCATGGAACACTATGCGACTGTAAAAAAGCTCTTACCCTTTGCAATGGCATGGAGGGACCTGGAGACTATTATGCTAAGCAAAACAAGCCAGTCAGAGAAAGACAGATACCATGTGATCTCCCTTATAGGTGGAATCTAATGAACAAACTAAACTGATGACCAGAATAGGTACAGAGGTATGGACGCCTGGAACAGATCTCAGAGGGGAGGGGTGTGGGGGGGACAGGAAAGAGATCACCCAAAGAACATATAAGAATATATGCATAGCCCAAGGACACAGACAATAGCTTGGGGGAGGCCTAGGGTGGGGCAGGGGCTGGCTGGAGGGGGGCAAAGGGGTGGAAATGGGGGATATCTGTAATACTGTCAACAATAAAAAACAAATGTAATCTCCAGGAAGGCAGGGTCTATCCCTGGGGGCCTAGGACAGTGCTTGGCATGTAGCAGATGCTCAGGAATCATTCATTAAACTGGAGGTGGCCAGGGTGGGTGCCTGCAACCTGGGGGAGCCTGCGGGGCTCGGGATTCTGGTGGTGGAGGCGCTGGTGATGGACACCAGAAGGGAGGCCTGTTGGGATACTGAGCTGAGCTCTTGATACACATTAGAAAAACTCATCCTCTTTGGGGGAAGGGACAGGGTGGGGTGAGAGTTTAAAATAGGCGACCTTTTCAAGCAGATGTGGGAGGAAGGAAGGGCCCTGACATCACAGCTGAGAGGCCCAGAGCTGTTGTGGCCCAGGGGCCAGGGCCACCAGGGCAGGCCCCCAGCCTGAGTCACTCCCACCTGTAAGTCAGGTGATTAGGCCAAACCTAGGGGTGGGGGTGTGATCCTGGGAGGGGTGAGTGGGGCGGCTGGGAGAGGTGGCAGCTGCTGTGCAGCCTGCCTCTGCTTTCTTCCCTCAGCCCTACGCCAGCCACTCAGCAGCCCACTGCATTATGGAGGCCTGGGGACAGCACAGAGCCTCCCTCAGTTTCCCTGTCTGGGAAGTGAGGGGAGAGGGAGGAAGGATCCAGTTCATTGCTTGTCACGGATGGCCTCCCCAGCTGTTCACCTCTACTCACTGCACCCACATTTGCCTCTGAGTTCTGGAACCCGTCCTGCCTTGGCCTCCATTCAAGCTCTTTCTCCTGTCCCCCCACCCAGCACCCACTAGGACCTCCTCCTCTAAGCCAGTGCTCCCCATCCTCCAGGCTCGTGGGTGCTGGCTGCAGGCAAGGGAAGAGCCTGAGCTTTGGAGGCTGACAGAGCCAGTCCCAGATCCAGCTCTCTGCTTCATACCCTGGGGAATCTTTGCCCTTCTGGCCTCAGTTTTCCTTTCCGCAGAGTGGATATATCTACCTTCTAGATTGTGGTGGAGATAAGAAATGACCCCATTATGAAAATTGGTTTCCTTTACCTTTTCTTCCCCAATTATTTTTTTGTGGTAAGAACACACAAACATAAAATTTACCGTCTTAACCATTTTTAAGTACAGTTCAGTGGCATTAAATACATTCATAATGTGCAACCCTCACCACCATCCACCTCCAGAGCTGTTTTCATCCAATAAACTGAAACTACACCGATTAAACAATAACTCCCATCTCCCCTCCCCCAGTCCTGGCAACCACCGTCCTCTGTCTGTCTCTAGGATGTTGACTACTCTAGGTGCCTCATATAAGTGGAATCATGCAGCATTTGTCATTCTGTGACTGGCCTATTTCTCTTAGCATAATGTCCTCAAGGTTTACCCATGTTGTAGCATGTGTCAGAATTTCCTTCCCTTTTGAGGCTGACAACATTCCATTATATGATGTGCCACGTTTTGTCACTCCTCTGTCAGTGGCCATCCGGGCCGCTTCCTTAATCGTTGCCGTGAACAATCTGCTAGAAACACTGGTGCACAGATCTCTCTGAGACCCTGCCTTCAGTTCTGAGTACATATCCAGCAGTGCAACTGCTGGATCACATTGCAATTGCACTTTTATTTTTATTATATTTTTAATATGTCTTTATTGATTTCAGAGAGAGGAAGGGAGAGGAAGAGATAGAAACATTAGTGATGAGTCATTGATCGGCTGCCTCCTGCACGCCCCCAACTGAGGATCGAGCCCGCAACCCGGGCATGTGCCCTGACCAGGAATCGAACCCTGATCTCTCCTCGATCCTAGGGCGATGCTCAACAGCTGAGTGACACCAGCCCGGCTCACTGCACGTAATTTTTTGAAGATTCACTCTATTCTTTTCCACAGCGGTTGCACCGTTTCACACTCTCACCAATGGTTCCTTTCCTTTTTCCCCCTTTCAGTTCCAACTACCGCCTCCCTGCAGCCTTTCAGGATTTCTCAAGAAGGTGAATGCCAATGGCACCGGCAGCCTTGGCCCCCAGCCTGGCTGAAGGCAGAGGCCGTTCACACACCACCAACTCTGCCCGGCCTCTGGCTCGGAGCTGCTGGGGGGCAGGAGGGTTTACCGAGCGCCAACCACGCGCCAGGTACCCTCCGAGGTACTGCACACGCATCCGCCCCTTCATCCCCCTGCTGCACAGGGGTCACTGCACGCACAGGGGGTGAGCCCTGGGAGGCGTCCGACTTGCCCAAGCAAAGGCTGCTGAGCTACGAGACTGGAGAAGTGGGCAGAGCCCAGTTTACAAAGGGCCTGAATACACTTTATCTTGAGGGCAATGGGGAGCCACTGTCAGCTTTAGGGAGGCAATGAGGTCAGACGGGCTGAAAGCTGAGCAAG